CCACGACCTTTACAAGATGCTAGACCAGTCGTCTGTAACTGCTTTAATGTTCTAATTTAGGTCATCAGTAAAGAGCCGAAGGATAACAAATTTATTCCAGACGGCAGAGTGCAAACACTAAAAGCATGCACTATTTATACTACAAGATAGTGCTAATTAAACAATAGAGAACAAGTAGAGTGATCGCACTTAAACCGTGCAACTGTACAAAATTAAAGTAGTATTAATTTGTACTAAACGTGGACCTGAAGTAAGACGGTATTGATTGCTTCATTTATATCAATTCAATTTAATTTGCGTACCGCATGCACGATTTACTAAATACAACTAAATAAACTATTTAGTTTGTACAGTTGCACGGATTAAGTGCGATTACTCTAGTATTTAGTGGATTTATGTTGCACAGTTTTATAGTGTTGTGAGTACCTTCATCGATACACCTTCGGTAATAAGATATCGTATTTAATACCTAATCTATAATTGTCCGGGCTATTGTCGATGAATCGAACCGCTCCCTTTTCTACGTACACGGCTCCCTAAGGCAGATGTCTGGTTTTATGCTGATTTGAATAAGCTGGGATATTCTATTGAAACAGCGGATAATAAGGTAGAATGATAGTATTTGTTGTCTATTTATTTATATTTTGTGGTAGAGGAACCGAGAGAGGCACGAAAGAAGAATGTGTGTACACTTCTAATCATCATCTACTCTGCTACTAACATCGCAAACTTGGTAAAGAAAATGTTACAGTTCTAAAAACTGATGAAGGATATTTCATTCTTGGAACCGTTTTTCCTTCAATCAAGTCCACACAAAATCAGTTTATCTTGAGTTTTCCTAGCGTTTAGGGATGATTTGTTTAGGCACGCGGTTTCACGGCGAAGTGTTTAGATAACTGGATGAGTAGCTATGTTGTTACTGAAACGAAATGACGTCAGTGAGTAAGTACCCTTACAGCTTTTAATGGTTTAGTGAAGATTTTAACTGATGAACATACAGTTCTCTACTGCGATTTGTTACGYGAGAAAGTATAACCTTATCATTACAACAATGGCATTGTAATAATGAAATTAGAAATTCGTCCRCAAATTAATGTTCATTGAAGCTTTCTGGGACAATATCAATCAGTTATTTTAGATGATTTAAAATGAAAGTTTATCTTCGGGGATGAAGTGCGCTGGGATATCTTAAATTAAAGAAAACGTTAGAATCAAATAATCTTCATAAACATAAKGGACAACCTTTTGACCTTCAATAGTGCAGCGCAACATTTGATAGTGTAGTTGATTTATAGAAGCCTACTGAGTTGCATAGGAATGACGGTAKTTGACAGACAAAGAAGGTCTAAACAATCATGTTATTTACACATGTAATACATCCATCATAGACATAATATACTTGAGGATATTACGGATGGAAATCTGTAATGTTACTAAAYGAACACCCTAATACAACATTCATGTGACTCACAAGGATAGAATTCACAAAGCGGTCTTATTGAGCTTTGTTTTTGTGTCAAAATGTCTAAGGTTTGTGTAAAATAGACAACACTGTAATCCTATGAAAAGAACAGATCGTCTGTCAGTACGGCCTGCCAGCGGCAGTACTAAAAATAACTCCAATGTGGAGTATCTTAATACTAGTTCCCATTCCTCTTTTAGGCTAATAGAAAACAACTGCWTGTATTCAGCTGAGATGGCATGTTAAACTGGGAAAGAAATCAATGTAAAAGAGGAAAAAAAACGTTAAGGCATTAAATTACAAAATCTGCGAACAGTTTCCTTTAGAAAATCCATGTCGAACCGACAGTTTGAGATACATTGAAATGAATTCAGAGGAAGGAAAACATCGATTTCCTAAAACTCGTTTCCTTAATCCAATTAAACTTAATGGGTTTCCTAAAACTCGTTTCCTTAATCCAAAACTTGGATTTCCTAAAAAGATGTTTTCCTTCCTCGGAATTATAATCATTTCAAAGTTTCCTAGTATTAGGGCGACGTCGTGAACTACATGTTATGTTTTAAAGTCAACTGACTAAACGTTGTCGTTTGATTGACTTCGTCTCTCAATCCATATCTCCATAGTTTTTAGCTGTCAGACGTCTTTAGCTCGATATTTTCGAGAAAACGTTGCGATATCCCCTGGCAATATACTGAATATACACAATATTGTATTTGGACATCATGCCTGATGGAATATGACGGAAGTCGCTTTTAGTTTGTTTTCCATTGTGAAATTGTTACCGTCTGATTTGTTGTTTGTTTGTTTGCTTTGGCTTTGTTTTCTTTATTTTTTCTTATCTTTTCCTTTCGTTTTTTGTTTCTTTTCTTTAATTTTCTTTCCTTTAAGTTTCTCTTCTTTTCTCTTCTCTTCTTTCAGTTTCTTTTCTTTTTCTTAGTTCCATCAGTTGCATTCAGTAATGGCAAAAAGAGTGTTCATAATCAATATTTTTTCCTCAAAACACAGCCGTCATGAGCGACGAAGAAGCCGATATTCTGGAAATACGCGGCCATGTGATCGACCCAGGGATCTACTGGGACCCAGCCCGCGAGGTCCATTCCGTGGACGTGTATACTGGTATCGAGCTTTATCAGCACCTTAAGCTGCCAGTAGGAGATGACCGGGAGTTACGGCGGATGCTGGAAGAAAGCTTCCGAGAAAAGAAAAGGATGACAATTGAATATCTCATTAAAAACAAAACAATTTTGACCGTCAAATATCGATAAAACATCCTTACTGTACAATTGACATATCATCGATGCTTACAGGAGAAAGCAAATAAAAATATCTTATATTAATGCCTTTTCAAAATGGCGTGGTCTTTAATGTAAGAGTTAAATACCGGGAACCTCGACATTCAGCCATGTAAGGGCCTCAGACCCGAGGGCCGCAGACATTCAGCCATATAAGGGACTCAGACCCGAGGGATCTATATGGCTGAATGCCGAGGTTCGAGGTTATTAACTTACTTTAATTATGGGAGGGTGTCATTATGAATACGATCAGGCTATACACTGTATGATTTTCTCCGCATTTTGTTTTTTTTTTGCAACTAGACGCATAGCTGCGTGAGCTCGGGGTTCTGCTTGATATCTACTAGTGAATCATTTATACATTAGTTACATTTCAGTATAAAAACGCTGCGCATATTTTGTGTGTGTACACAACAAATGTGTGCATTTGTAAGAGCTCTTGTAAGTGATTTGACCGTATTTGTAGACGTTGAATTTATGTCTTCTTCCATCACTCTCGCCGACACTTGCTGAGCTTGGGCTACCTGTGGGCAATATGTGACTGATAAGCGACGACAATGAAAAAAAGGCCGAAATTTTAACTCGGGATTCCTTTGGAAAGTTAYTTTAGTGAACGCTTATTCTAAGTGTTTTTTTAATTGGATTCCCTGTTTTGCGCAGCCATCTTTGCTTTTGTTCCCAGTCATGCATAGCGAGAGGAATCAAGAACAAGGCGAACGAGCCCTAGTCCAATGACATTCCAGACGATGTTTGGCACAAGTGAAATCCAAACCAAGAGCTAAAACATTGTCAAAAAGTTCTTGTTGCAAACCCAAATGCCTGAGGAGCCTGGAAACAAGCAGTTACTGAACTGAAACTACACGATGATAGCAATATTACTTTATTATTTCTTGAAATCTGTTATTAAAAATATATCTTTCATCTTCTAATACAACGTAAGGGATGGTTGAAGAAGGTTCTCGAAGTCTGAAAAAAAGGAAGGAAATATTGTTGATTTGACGGCTAGTTTTATAGACGGCTAGTTTCATAGACGTTGTCCAAACCCAGACTTTGACTATCGTGGTCTCAGTTTCAGTTACTTAGAGAAACATAATCTTTCAATGTACATTTCTTTTGAAATTTTTACAATACAAAAGGAATTCAAAAGAATAAATTTGACGTCATGTGCGGAGACTTATTAATAGGGTGTATATTCTCTCGGCACCAGTTTGTCTCAGGATAAATCAACGCAGGAAGCCCAATGAGAGAAAAAATCAGTTTGCTTAGGAGTAGCCTGCGAAGTGCGCTACTTCCAATTCAACTTTTTAATGTTATTTTAATGCTTTTTCCTAGTTTTACAGACTTTTCGGTGAGGATATACATCCTTTTAATAAGTGCGGAGGAATTGTGYTCTCCGCACTTGACGTCAAATTTATTCTTTTGAATTCCTTTTGTATTGTAAAAATTCTAAAAGAATAAATTTGACGTCAAATGCGCGGAGAATACAATACCTCGGGACTTATTAAAAGGGTTTATATAACCTGTGAATTTTTTTTCATTTAGCGAGTGTGAGCAGAAAGCCACCGGATTGGTCCAGGTCTTTTTAATTCTAAAACAGGCTGACTTACCGTTGAGTTTGATGATACCTCGACCAGCGGGGTCTGCTCTACCAATGATTTCATTCAATTCATAATCTTTCATTCTTTCTCTACCGGGCATGCGCTCAAACGCTTCGTACAGTTCTTGTACCGTAACGAATCCTCGTTCGTCCGTGTCGAACACATTCGAGGCTGATGATGTCTCGTATTCAGGTGATTGCTCTGATACAATTACTGTCATCAAGTCCACGAAATCTTGAAACGACAGCCTACAGTTTGCTACAATAAACAAGATTTGTTAGAATCAGCAATCAAAATATTCTGATTGAAAAATCAAAAAGTTCGAAGAATCGAAAAATTAAAAAAAAAATCGGTTTGAAAAATCTAAAAAAATCKAAAAAAATCGAAAAATTCGCAATCGCATTTAAAAATCAAAGAAATTCATAAATCAAAATTCGGAAAAAAAAGCCGATTTGTTACTGGAAAATCATTGAATCTACGTGTTGAATCCTCTGTCTATTTAACAAATAGATTCCATTTTTTTCGTGCGTTTGCGCTCTACCAGATCAGATCAAGACATCAAAATGTGATGAGAACAAAAATGTACGCCACGAGACGAAGTCGAGTCACGTGACACATTTTGACGTATTCTGTGAATATATTTGCTATATATGATATATATTTTCTTGTAACTTTTTCCTGGAAAACGTGTAATTTCTTGATGCTGTTGAACGAAAACCAAGATCACGTGCACTGGTTTTAACCAATTAGATCGCACGTAAGATTAAATGGCTTCATCTGCGCGTGCGTACTTTAATGACACACGATTCTCAACCAATCCATGCGCGCGTAATGCAAAAATATTATATGACCGAGTATATTGAAGCCTGGACGCGAGAAAAAGGAGAGATCTGATTGGTTGATGCCAATTTTTCTCCCTTTGGAGATTAGTAAAACAATGGGGACTAAGTAGGCAAAGCATTCTGTTAGTTGTAACAAATGTCAACATATAATGTAAATATAGCCTTCTATTGCTGTATTCGTGGTTGTGTTATTTACCTGTAAGACCTAAATCGTTAAGAAATACCCAGACAGCATGTTCGGCAGGATTGTGTCCAAGTGATCGAATAAGGCTGAATACTTTAGTGGTTTTTATCAAWCCAGTCTGGTCTTTATTAAACATGGAAAATGCGTCTTCAAACTCTGATATTAACAAATGACAATAACAATAAGTTAGTAAAAACGCCTATAACAAATTGACCACATCCAACACGAAACCATTGCCGGCCTTTCCGCATTTCGACCATTCTCCGGACACATTCGCGGATTTCATACATTCATTTGGAAATTTTACAATATTCGAAGTGTAATCAAACAAAAAACTGTATACTCGAGAACAATGTTGAAATAAGCCTTAAATTTCAGGATGTCAGTTTTATGAAATGTTTCTTTTTATTAAGGGTGTTTTGTTTGCATTGTTGGATTGATTGAATGTGTACCTTCGACTTGTTCTTTTGTAAAAAAGCAGGTCTGTCCGTTTCTGTCTGACGACAAAGCACTTTCTATCATTTGCTGAATAAAGAAAAGGAAATAAGTGTGAAATCTCAAGCTGCGTTCACACGTATCCAGATTTTTATCCGCATTACGCGAGGGTATTCACGACTTTCAAAAATGGCGCGATATATGTCACGGTCGTCGACCAGGGCACTGGGGACGAAGCACTAAAACAGGGTCTCAAAGGCCAG